TGATTTAGTCTTTTGGAAACAGTCACCCTTGTTACACGGGCTGCTGTGGCTGCATACAGGTCCCAAGACAGCTGAGAAGCTGTAGCCCGTCTGTTACACCTCGCTAAAATGGACAAATAGCGATCTTCTCTGGCCGTCATGGCTCTTGGACGACCTTGCCCAGGCTTTCTTTCGATGCATCTAGTATCCTGGAACTGTTTCCGTATGTTACACACGACGCCGGGCGTTAAATTACACACGACGCTGGGCGTTAAACTCTCTGCATATCTGACTTGCGATTGGCCTCCCTCTAGCCTCCCCACAATTCGCAACCTCATTCCATCATCTAAACGTTGGTGGTTACTCATTTTACTGTTCTGATGTGAATTTAACCGATTGCTGCAAGATAACACCAAGAAATTCGCCGAGATGTGCTAGCGAACGCAATTCGTCTTACCCTCCACGCGCTTATAAAGCCTGTTTTTCTGCTGGCTCCGCGTACACGCACACGTGTACGCTTACGTATTTGCCGTACAAGATTTCCATTTTTATCTAGAAGTACAGGATATTCCTTCATGCAATTCTTTTTATGCAATTCGATAAAGTATGCAAATCTCTTAATTTATTTGAGCAGTGTATATTAACCGCGTTAAAAAAAAAGTTTTTCAGTACATTTTATTTTATTCACAATACACAGAAATTACAAAAACATTTCATATTTTTACTTATCTGATCATATTTTTTCTTATTTTTACTTATTATTACTATCTTATAAAATATCACAAGAGAAAAGGAAATTTGATGCTAGTGTTGTAATGATTCTCTAACTAAGTAAGTTGAGAACTTGTTAAAATTATTATCTGCTTAGCAAGTAGAGGAAGAATGACAGACTTCGCAATAAATATTACATACTATATACAAGAAATATTATCACGTTATATATTTTACCTAAAACATCTGATAACAAACTGCCAAAAGATTAAATCAAAGCGGCAATTAGTTATTCAAAATGTTTTTCCGCAGTTTGAATGATTTACCTAACAATGGATTGGATTATTTAATTATGGCAAAGCACACGAGGGCTGTCTGCCTAAAGGGAGGGATGCCTTCGTGAAGGACTTTCGAAGGGAAACTAGCTCGTATACACGTTACACATGGGGAAAACCACGAAAACGCCCATGCAGCCAGCCCGTTCTGGATTCGAACCTCGGACTGAACTACCAGTGTTCAGCGTCTTTACCGCTCGGCCGCTAGTGTGCCTTACAATGAATATGAAACATTGAATAATACTTTTTTTTTCATTACAACAATAATGATCACAAAGTGTGCCTGAAAATGAAACTCGTCTCAGTTCTATATTACACTGTCAAAGTCTTTGCACTTGCCATGCCGAATAATTAATGCCCTGTCACAATTATTACCACATTACGCGAAAAAATACTTTATTGTTTCTGCAAGACTTGACCATGCCTTTAAACAAGTACACCAAAAACATACAGTAACAAAACAATTCGATAATATTTCTTCACTCAATATTATATAAACGTTCTTCCGGTCCCTATAGTTATATTTAAAAAAGTTTTATACTCAATATAAAAAATGAAGCACAGAAAGTTACGACGAAATTAGCTGAGATATTTGACATTAAAATCGGAGATCATATTCAGAGGCCTACACAAATTGAAGAGCGGAATATTTGCATTTGTACATAACTAAAGATGAAATATCGTTTAGAAAAAGGTTTCTGATCTTGAGAGATTGCGTGATGAACATTTCTATGCAAATTATTATGAAGCATATTGAATAATACTTTTTTTCTTTCCCAAATTGGAGATTATATTCACAAAATTTTACAGAATTCGTGTTCCAGAAAACAGTGGCAAGTTCAAGTATTGGCCCGTAGCCTACTCATAATATTATCTACATTAATTAAAAATGGAAAATAGTTGTACTTTAATGAATTGTTTACGACCCTAAAGTAATAAAACTTCACGAGAATATTAATAACGTATTTTTACACTTTAAAAACTAACAAATTACTGGGACGAAAATTCTTTCGGCATATTAAATGTAATAAAATTACAAATAAAGACACTAGTAAATCACAAAAGAACACCCCTGAATAGCATTTAAGGGCAAAAATCAACCTCAGATGATGTTTATTTATTTATTAATCAATACCTCAATGAAAATTAAAAATTGAGTCAAATATCACAAATTTTGAAATTTAATATCTCGGTTTATTGTTTTCGTGCGGGAGTCAAACTTTTTGTGTTTAATTTTTTGTAAATGCTACTAACTATATGGACTGGGCGAGGCGTTTAAAAAGTTTAATTTCGTATTTTACAAATTTACTCTTTTTTAATTATAAAATGTCAAAACATTAATTAATCTTTGCTTTATTTAAAACACTTTTGCAACTGGAAATATATGTCTAAAATCCCCGACTGCGAAAAGAAACGTCAGATAAGGACTTCTGTGAATACGGTGTATAGTGAAAGTTTGGACACATTCCGATTGTTTTAGTATAAAAGTTAAGAAAATTTGACTTACAATAAAACATAATATAGTGATTTAAAATCAGGTTCAGTTTTTCGATGACATTATACATTAATCGAAATTAATTTTAATAATTTTACTGACTTTACCAGCCATTACTGAAGCTCAAAATATTTATGTATAAATGACACATAAACTTAATAACGAAACAAAGTTTTATTCTTTGTCTTAAAAACAATTAAAAAGTTAATGCATTTTGGAAGAAAATTACTTAATCCTGTAAAATGAGTCAAAACTTTCTCTTGTGCACAAAATGCATTAAGCTTTTTATTTTTTTACCAGCATTCACTCAGAGCAGACTCTTGTTCTAGTAATTAATTCTGGGTTCCTAACAAAAATGGTAATTTCTACTAAGATTCACATGAACTTAATATCACTTTGTTTTACATTTGAATTACTTAATATGAGAGGGAACTACATCCAAAATGTCTGAGCAAGAAGTACTCACAAATATGCATATATCTATTTTTATCTTATCACACTATAAATCAAAAGTGTAATTTGAATTAGGAATAGTCCCTCTTATTCTTCATTTTAATTTGTGTATTTCCCTTTTCGACTCTAAAAAACAGTAATTGCTTACAACATTCTCAGGACTGTGTCATTTCTACATTAATCCACGTCATTAGAATTTTACATAACACTTTGACGAGCTTTATTACTTATTACAATTTTAGAGCTTTATTACTTATCCAATCAAACGCTATCGAAACCGAAACTAACCCATTCTGAATTAAAATTTCATCCTGAAGATAACACACTTCTCTTCTGCTATTCGGTCAAACTTACTGCTGCGCTGGTCTCTTCTTACTGCAACACTATAAAAAATGTAAATGTTCTGAGACAATTGTAATGCGATAAATTATTTGTGGCCGCAAAATGCCTAAAAGCAATATTATGTAAATTTGCTACAACTGCTTCTTATTAAATCAGTTATGACTGGAATTAATACTTCAATATCTGATACCTGACATTCCCAAATAATCACATAAATCTTATTTATATATATGAAATATACAGGGTGCTTTGCTACCAGACCGACAACTTGCAGGGTGTGTAGGGGGTACAGAGACAAAAGGAATGGAGAGTCGCAAATGGCGCAGTTGCTGTGGTGCAAAGAAGCAGAGAAAAAAGTAGAAACAGCAATACATTAATGGGACAGAAAACATTTTATTGAAAGGTTACATCAGGTGTTAAAAGTTACGACCAGAAGTCGTCAGGCATGGAATTCCTTACATTCTGGAAGATTCCTCCCTGCAGTCTTGTGGTACATGGCGCTGAACGGAAGGCTGCATGAACAGCATATTCACAAAGCCTACAGACCGTTTCTTCTACTGTTTGCTCCGATTGGTTAAAACAGGCAGGAAACGTAGGGTTACAGAATCTTGTACTTGGCGACTTTTGCTTCATCGCCTATACTATTTGTATATCGGCCTCGTGTACGGAAAAGTGTGCAAAAGCCAACGGCTAAACCGCAGCACAACGGTAACGAGGATGGAAAAATTTCTCGGATTTCTAGATCGCCGGTTCTATCCCCGCTCGTGAACTTTTACGAACTCTGCCCTTTGTTTTTATTCTCACTTTATTGAATGACTTTGTCATTATTGGTCTTTTTGCCTTCGGGTGTGGTGTTAAAAATTTAACACCTTCATTTTCTCTATTTTTGTTAATGCTAATTTTTCTTATTTTTATCTACTCGTTTGTACTCTTTGTAGTAGGTACCAGTAGCAAGATTATGATCCCAGAAAAAGCATTTGAATAGAAACAGCGCATAATGGAATAAATTAATTTTAGCTATACTCATAATTTAGGCTAAAAGACTAGGATCCGACGCCCTTAAATGTATGAATTGTAAATATTGCCTGTAAACATTTTTCTTGCAAAACAATTATCGTACTTTTAATAGTTTAAATTCAAATACAAATAAACTATTAATAAGATCAGTAGGTTATTTAAAATGTATTTCATTCATAAAATAAAAAATTATCAAATGAAATAAAAGCTGTTTCTCCTCGCTGTACTGAAAGCCTACAAGGTTTGTTTGGTGTTAATTACCACGCCTACAAGGCGATTACTCGCCATTCCAAATATGACCGACAAACAGATGTTTCATCCAATGAGCAGACCGTAAAAGAAATGGTCTGTAGGCTTTGTGAATATGCGCGTGAACAGCCATCCTGCTGGAAGTCGTCATTTGCGATCCATTTCTCAAGGTAACAGAGGATGAATGCGTATTCAAACGATAAACTGGTCGACATGCTGATCGTGTATGGAGCTGAAGATTGTAACAGGCAATGCCACTCAGCAATTGTATCAAGAACGTTACCTGGACAGGCGTGCTCCATATCACCTAACCTTCGCAAGTCTGAACAGAAGCTTACGTCAGATTGATTGTTTAAACGAGAGCTACAACGAATCGACAGCGAACGACGAGGACACTGGCAATGAGGATGCGGGCTTACGCCCGGCAGAAGACAATCCAAGTACGAATACTCGAACAATAGCCCAACAAGTGGGTTTATCTTCATCCATTATCTGAAGGATACTCGCAGCAAACCAAATGAGAGCATTCAATCTTCATCGCGTCCAATTATAAAGCTGCGTTGACACTGGTCCGTTGGGGCGCCAAGCGTGAAAGCGTAAAAAAAACGCTTTCCGCGTACGCCAGTTCACACCAGGGCGGAAACTTTCGCTTTAAAAGTTATCATATGCTCGCATTGGATGGCGCTTCATATCGGAAACTTGGGGGGGGGGACGAAATTCAAAATTTTTGTATGGTATTTTGACATTTTAAGATTACATTTTTTAATTAAAATGGATTTAATTTCTGCTCGATTAAAACGTATTTTACTTCTTGCTTTGTTGTAAGAGAAGCAGAATGCAGAGGTTTATATTAATATGTGAGAGATGACTGCAGTAAGAAGATGCAAGTAATTTAATTGAAGAAATGCCCTTGAACAAAACGAAACTTCTTTTAATTACTTTCGCATGACACCTCATCAATTCGATGAATTTATAGCGCTCATTGAACTATTTATTTAAAAGCAGAACACTAATTTTTGTCAGAATATCCCAGAAATATTCTATGGACTATAGGACTAATATGGACTATAGGAATAGGATAGCCCAGAAAAGGATCGTTGTATATATCAAACGCAGTATATATCTAATTTAATTTATTTATGAATTTTGTTGAATCATTATTAAAAAATCCTAATTGTATGATTCTATTTTGGAGAGTAAATTTTTCACGTGGTAGAATACCATAAATGTTTTCGCATGATGTATGAACTTCCCTTAAATGCTTCCTTAAATAAACTTCCCTTAATTGGTTTAAATAATGCGATAAAAATTATATTTTGTTTAAATATATTTACAGCATCACGAAATTAAATATCACACTTAAAAAAGCAGTTATTTTTAAGTTAATAAACAACATCAGTTTTTTTTAAATATTTTAGTTTCTGCCTTATGTACATATTTTTTACCTTGAATGTAACAGTAATTACTTCAATTAGTCATTCATAGCCAGAGAAGTCAACGCTTTGATAGAGAGTAGGAGTGAGAACAAAGTGGCTCTAAGATGTTGGAAATGTGGTATTGAAGGGCATATACGACGGCATTGCAGAACACCCCAGGGCACGGATAATAAAGCGGATGATTTGATAAGACCAGTGAATGGCTTAAGACAGAATACTGGTGAGAAGAAACCAACCCTAAAGTACTGGAACTGCGGTGTTGAAGGCCACATACGAAGGAACTGCAGAACACTCCAGAGCACGGAAAATAGGCGGGTTTAATAGAAAATTAAATGCCATGGGACAAAAAATGATTGACAAGAAACCAAAGTGCTGGAACTGTGGAACTGAAGGCCACGTACGAAATAATTGCAGAACACCCCAAGGTACGGAAATTGAGACCATTTCTCAGCAACGACGCAGGAAACAAATTAATGACCATATCAAGGAACGGAGGTTGCCAGATAGTGAAAAACCTTGTTTTAAAGCACTCAAGATTTCTAGAGTGAGTGGCAACAGTAACGGATTGTCCATCAATGGACAGTAACGGACTGTCCATCAATGGAAATATCGATGGAGTTCTTTGTAATATGATCATTGACCCAGGAGCTAATGTTACTATCATTAGGAAAGATGTAGCTGAACAGTTTAAAGATAAACTTATTTGAAAGCCATCCTGTGTTACCCTTCAGACTGCGTCTGGTGACAAGATCGAGATAGCTGGGAAGTTAAAAGTGAACATCAGGCTTGGAAGTGCCGCCTACCATCACACGGCATACGTGGCGGATATTACAGATACATGCATTCTCGGATTGGTCTTTTTAAGGAAATAAAATTTTTCCTTAGACTTTAAAACCAACAAATTGCTTTCAGCATCTGAGGACATGACTATCCATCCTCAGAAGGGATCCTTACCTGGAAATGTCGACGCCTTGTCCGAAAGACCCAGCTCGGGAAACTGCCGAAATCATACTAGGGTCGAAAAGAAGCGCAAGACTACCAGCTATTCTCCATCCCAGATGCTCTTCAGTCGAGACCTTCGTCTGCCTTGTGACCGCCTGTTTGATCGCCATACGGATGCGCCTTCATCGCCTGAGGAACACATCCAAGATGTCAAGGCCCGTTTTGAAGTGATGCACCGTTCCGCACGAAAGCGAGTGAACTTGGCGACGGAGAAAGTGAAATCCAGATACAACACGAGAGCTACTGGACTTAGATCCAACAAAGGAGACAAGGTGTGATTGTGGAACCCGATTCGACGAAAAGGAGTCAGGCCTAAATTACGGTCACCTTGGGATGGTCACTACACAGTCCTAAACAGGCTGAATGACGTCGTGGTTCGGATCTGTAAGTCTTCGAACTCTAAACCTAAAGTCGTTCATTACGACAGGTTAGCTCATTACTATGGCTATAGTACGTAATGTAAATAATTGCAAATAGTATAAGACCATGGTCTTTTTTGTTTTTAAATGTGTATTTGATTTGTATTTGTATTTTGATTTGATTTAGTATTTGATTTGTATTTAGTATTTGTTTTGTATTTAGTACTTGATAGCATTTGATTTGTTTAAGTTTGTTATTGCATTTATTGTTCATGTTGTTTGATATTGTAATGTAATGTTTATGCCTCAGTTGCATTTATGCCTCAGTTATAAGTTTGACTTCCTGTCCAGGGATTGTACTGCCCGGGACGTGCAGTCCTTGGGAAGGGCGCAGTGTTACGAATTTTGTATTTTAAAAAGCTAATGTTAGTTTAATTATAAATTAAATGGTTTCATTTCCCGCGCAGAGCAGCGCGTGACGTATACTAATAGAAAGCTAAGCCGGAAAATTGAAAATACAAGAGCACGTGCATGTAACATTTAATAAATATCTCTTTTTGATTTCGAGAAAGTACTAGAAAATTCTCGCACGCGATTTTAAAATCTTATAAAAGGAGGAAAACCATCTCAGTTCGTAGTTAGTTACTTAGTTTGTTGTTTAGAAAACTGCTCTTGTTGACTGTAGCGAATTCGCGGATTAGCTTCTTTAGCTGTTTTGAATTACGGTCTATTGAACGTTGAGTAGTTAAAAGATAACTACTGTGAGAATATTGTAATTCTGCACGATAATTTGAGAAAATTTAAGCATATTTGTTGTAATAATAATAAATTTTGTTCATTTTTCATCAGACTTGTGCATTCATTTCGTAACGAACCCGTACGCACGCAACAGTATTAAAATAAGTGGGTTGCAATTCTAATGATGACTAAAATATATTCAAGTCCAAATGTGCAGGAATATATGCAGATAATTATTTACATTCTAGGGGCGTTGCATAGTGTGTCACATGGGTAGTATTAAAACGCTTCATTAAAAAGGAAAACACTTTTCTTATGGTAAACACTACGTTCTCTTTTTCCTATAAGTACAGCTGCGATTTTTGCGCATTATTCGGATTTTCCAGAAACTGCACCATTGTTCGATAGAGGGAATAAGATCCTGCAGTTTTTTAATCGCGTGATTTAGGTTCATAGACGTCACCGCAAGTGCTGTGTCGTCAGCATAACAGGGTAACAACGAATTATGATTTAGATGTACTCGTGGAAAATCAGACACATAGAAAAGGTAGAGTAGAGGGCCGGTCACCGAACCTTGGAGGACGCCACTTGCCATAATTTTTGTATTAGATAATTCTGATCCAACAGAAACTCTAAAAGTCCGGTCACTGATGAAATAGTAGATCAGTAAAATCAGTTCTCTGTCCAGGTTGAGATCGATAAGCTTGGCTATTAAACTCTCATGTCAGACGCGGTCGAAGGCTTTCGCCACGTCTAGCATGAGAATAGCAACATTGAGCTTGCAATGGAGAGCTTCTCCGGCAAATTCGGTGATTCTAACGAGTTGCTTAGTCGTCGAGAGATGAGCGAGGAAACCAAATTGTTCCGGCGGTAGATAGTGAAAGTAAGGTTTTAGCCTGTTCAGAATAATTTTCTCATAGACCTTACCTAAACCCGGCAGTAGGCTTATCGGTCTATATCCGTCGGGTTTTGAGTGATCTTTTCCGGTTTTAGGCAGCAGAATTTCTTTTGCAATCTTCCATGGGGTGGCAAAGTACGACATTGCGAAGCAAGCATTAAAAATACTTGTCAGGTTACATATAATATTCGTAGGAGGATTTTTAATTGCTGCATTTGAAATCCCATCGATACCAGGAGATTTTTTCAGTCTTAGCTGCTTAATATTTGCAGTTTCAGAAGGAGTGGCAAAAAGCAATAGGATGGCGGACAGTTGGAGCGTTTAGCTCGTAGAAGGGTGTTTAATTCAAAAAGCAGAGTCATTTGGCCAATCATTTGGTGTGAATTGCTCCTGGAGATGTGAGGCAAAGATGGAAGCTTTGTCCTTATTGGATATTGCCACATTATCATTGTAGTGAAGGGGTCGATTGCTCGAGAAGGCAGTCTTTAAGTTTTTAATAAGTGTCCAGAAGGCGCCATCTTTGGCATCAAGATTCAACATTTTTTCATCCAAAGTTCAGATTTAAAGTTTTTAATTTCCTTTTGTATTAACTTATTAAGCCGATTGATGTCACGGTTGAGAGCCGGGTCCCATGTTAAGTGAAAGCACTTTCTCAGCCGGTTTCTCTCTCTCATGAGCTGACGAATCTTGGGAGGAAGTCGGAAGATTTTATTACTCCTGGGAAAAGTCTCACTAGCTTCCGAAATTGCACGTTGGATACCGTCAGATAATGCAGTGATAGTACAGTTAATTCCGTGCACGGTATGAAGATTTTTGAAACCGAAATGGGGAATTTTTCATCAAATTTTCAAAAAGTCTCCAAATTTGTGAAACGTTTCGCGGTGTATTTCATAGTCTTCGTCACACCTAGCGTAGCAATCACGGGGAGGTGATCGGATGACAGTTCATGGAGAACTTCCATGGAGATAGGAACAGTAGTAGTAGTAGTGACCACAATATCCAGTATGTCCGAGAGTTCTATCCGGCTGGGTCGTCTAGTATATTCAGGGGGGCGTG